ACAAAAAACGACGTGTCCATTAACCATCATCTGTTTTTCTACACATGTTTCAAATTCTAAATGAAATAATACTGAGATGCTGTTATATGGATGGAAAACCGTTTTCTTACTGTCTTGAGTTTAAGATAAGTTACATAAAAATGGCTTAGAAAGCTGAAAAAGAGAAGACATGTTGAATAACAAGATGTTTCTGGATGCTCAATTCTTACTGACATCTAATATCAGTCTGGTAATTTAGAGATTATAAGTCTTTTGGAGCTAAAATGAGTGCAAAAAGACTTTTTATGAGATTAGACTCCCAATAAGAGCCCAACATCACCTTGACAAAGTAGATACTCTGCATTTACAGTGTGACCCTGAACAGGAATGAGCTGGAATAGAAAATGACTGGCTGGGCCATTGTCATTAAAAGAAAAACCTACACAATTATTCAATTTGTCAGGCTTGTGGGAAAAATGCATTCTACCTATTTCCATTCAATATTCTGCTTGATAACTGGATGAAAAATTGATAAATAGATCATTTAGAAAAAAATTCAATATTGGCTTTTTATTGTTTATTTTTATTTTTATTTATTTATTTATTTTTACCAAAATCTGATATACGACATTGTCTTTCTCATAACTTCCGATACCAATATATGCTGTGTCCCCCTCTCATAAAAATAGACAAACCAAAACATTTTAGGTTATTAACATCACATTGATCACTATCCTGCTTACATTTTAAAACTTTTCTGTGCAAAAACAATTATTTTAATTTAAGTCAGTAAACAGAAAACGTGTTACAGGTAAACACACAAAAACAGTCAACTATTATTGTAACATTTGGTTTGGTTTATATTTTGTTTGAACAACGACTTCAAAAAACAGTATATAAAAAAATTAAACATGACTTACACACATAAAAAAATACTCAGAACCACATCCAAAACAGAACAAAGCACAACTGTTCAAAAGGAGTATGTAAAGGCAAAGCTTATTTTGATCCTACTCCTCTTCTACAAAATGTATACACATAATCACTAGCCTAAGATAACAGGCTACGACACTCCTATTCAAAAAGACCGTCATTACAGATTGACCTCATTATAAACAAAACACAGCGCTTTAGCTCATATTCCAACACAATTTAAAATAATTAGGTTTGTACATATTTTTAAAAATATTATATACTTGCACAGTTCTTAAGCTTCTCATCTAACCCATTCCACAAGTTGACTCAGCTTATAGAAAAGCTGAATTGTCTAATTGATGTTCTTACTTTCATTATCTTAAAATTCAGCTCACCCCTCAGGCTATGACCACCCTCTCTTTCTTTAAATATACTTTGGATGTTCCCAGGAAGAAAATTCTTCCTCACCTTATACATTATTTGTGCCGCCTTAACCTTGACTGAATCCAGTAATTTTGAAACCTTTGCCCTTAAAACAGTGGATTAGTGTGTTCTCTGAATCCTGCATTATAAATAATCCTTAGTGCTTTTTTCTGTAATGTACAAAGAGGTTGGGGGTGGTTTTATAAGTATTTCACCATATTTCCACACAATAGCACAAATAAGGTAAAACTAGAAATGAGTATAAAACCAACAGTTAGTCGCAGTCTGAACAATGTTTTGTTTTTGCAATAACTGCAATATTCTTTGATATTTTTGATGATAAATAGGCCACTTAAAGTTTCCAGCAGATTTTATGCTCAAATGTTCTTTCTATACAGGTCTGACCTATCATTAATTGAACATTGGTTGAAATATTTGATTTCTAAATCGCATCATTTTAGTTTTGCTCAAATTTAAAAATAAATTGTTACCGTCAAACCAATTTTTCATTTTTTGCATTTCCGACATAATTTTATTTAAAATCTGCTTTGTACATTGGCCTGTACATAACAGGGTTGTATCATCAGCAAACAAAATAAACCACTAGAAATAATGAGTAAGAGGAAGCATGTGTTTCCAGAACCGTGCAGCATAAGAGAGACAGACATACTAATGTACATCTGGAATTGCACAAGTACTGAACACATACATATTGCATGAATGTTATTGTGTAACGGGATAGTGCCAGTACCAGTTAAACTGAGGATTTATACACTCTTATTGCAGAGGGGATGAATGACCTACATAGTGTTCTGTTTTATTAGATTAAATTGGTTTATTTGATTAAATAATATGTAAAAAAAAACACACAAAATATAACCTTTAAAAGGTTTCTATCTGAAGTCCCCTTGTGACTCTCAAGAGCTTAATGAGATTGGACTGCAGAAAATCACTGGTTTCTTGTATTAAACAAAATATTTTTTGTGTCCAAGCAAATGTTATTCAAAAAGGCCAAATTAAACCTGTCAGGACAGTTATGGCTAAAGACTGTTGGGTAATTGACTGCCTGAGACATCTAACTGATCTCAGTATGAATGACCAGCAGATTCGTTTGGTCAGAGGTCAGCTTGTGGACATGCTGTCGGTTGTCTAGTCCATTTGAAGGGAACAAAAAGATGCATCAGAAACATCATTTCCACCCCATTGACCTTCCTTTGTTCAGAGGTGACACGGGGTCAGCAGTGATGTTTGGTTTTACGTGTTGATGGTGGTGGTCTGCTCAACCCTTAACCTCTGCCCGGTCTCAGAGAGGAAGACTAACATATGCTCCGTTTCAAGGGCTCCAAACCACAAGGGACAACTTGTGGTGTCCCAGCTTGTTAAACAGGGTCAGAGTTTGATGCACTTTGGTCAAGAGGAGCCAGAGAAGATCCTAGTGAAACAAATGTTCTTTTATTTGTTTAAAATAGTGTTAAAAATCAGTTTTTGCTGATTTTAGTCCAGAAACTAGCACAATGTTCTGCAAATCTTTAAGTTAAAGAGGTCCTTCAGCGAGAAACCAATGTTTACTTTTTATTTTTGATGATGATGAGTTTTTCATGCAGGCTGAACGTGAAAATAGTCTTCTACCCCTATCTCCTGCATTAGCTTCCGATAGAAAATAGACAGTGAAACGCTTATAGAAAAGCCTGATATATCTACGTCACACTGTCACCTAATATTCATGGACTCGTCCATCTTTACTCGCGACGGAGAAGTCTGTTGTTGATTTATCGTCCAGGAAACAGAAGAGAAAGTCTTATTTAGTACAATCTTATCGTTAGCATTAGAAACTTCTCCACACAGCAAAACTCCTCCAGGCTAGTGTTATTTTTGAAAATAAAACATCAATGTTGCAGAGCAAACAGAGTCAGCTAAATGTGTCTGAAGCTCTCCTCTGATCTGGCAACCTCATGTACCTGTAAATGGTGCACCGGAGCTTTGTGTCCACAGACTATGGCTCACAAGGCATTCACTCTTACTAGAGGCCACCCCAAATGTATTAAAAATACGAGTGAAGGACCACTTTAAAGTCTGCCTGAATTTGATTGAATAAAGACAACTAATCATTTGCTCATTATTTAATATTCACTTTTTAAGAAGAACTAAACATGAATCAGAGGAAATATTTGGCATTTTCTGTTGGCAGAGAGTCATAAATGAACCCAAACTCTGGCTTCCAGCCAAACTTGGAGATACTTTAAACCTCAAAGTGTTTGAATTAATACAAGCTATTTCAATATTGTCACAGATTACATCTTGTTCTTCCACGCTGAATTGTTTTGGCATCCTAGTGTAGCCTATGTGACATGGGAGAGAGGCAGAAATAATCTGTGTAATTCACTTCCAGAATCTCATTATGCCCTGGTTCCGCACATCCAGCAGAATCTTCTTAATTTAACTCTAATAATTTCTGACTAAGATGATCGGGATGACATTATCGTCCTGAAATATTTAACAAAACACTCAGATTCCAGAGTAAAAAGTAAAATTATTACAGTATTTACTGATACTACCTAGATATTCTCACAATTCCCGCTTTAATCATCAACTTGTTTCACTTAGAAGCTCAATTCACAGAGGTGTTAAAATAATGATGAATGCCTGAAATTCACTTAACTGCAGAGATTTTTCTGTGTTGCTTGTTTCAGATCATTAAAATAAATTTCCAGCTGAGTGGTGGAAAAAGTCACACAAACCATCCTGATTCATGCAGACTCAAAATCAGGGAATTACTAGTTTCATAAATTGGCTCAACTTTTTACAGAATATGAGATGACATGAAGAAGCTTTAAAATCTGAAGCTAATCCACTAAAACAGGAGAGAACCCATGACAGATGGTAATGATGCAAGTTTGAGTCAAATGAGTCAAACTAACAGCTACAAAATAAATGTAAACATTCCTAGCAGCATGATTATTTAATGGGACTTTTACAACATTTTGCATGAAACAATTATTTTATTTGACAGCATTATTGATTGCTACAGGTTAGGTATAGGGTTAGGCACAAATGCATCCTTGATCAGAATCTAAAGTATCCACTGAGCAGGACCCATTGACATGAGGCTGAGTGGGTGAGAAAAGGCCGATCATGTGCACAAACCATGAAAATTTTAAACGTGTGATTCAATGAAAAACCTTTTTTAATGATTGTTTCTGATTAAAATTAGTCACTCAGTTTTCCATGCAGGCTGAACATGAAAATAGTCTCCTACACCTAACTCCTGCTTTAGCTTCTGATAGAAACTAGACGTTGAAACTCTAGGATTTGAAAAACCTGACAGATCTACGTCAAGCGGTCTCTTGGACTCACCCATCTTGGCTTGAGATGGGAAGGCTGTTATTGTTGTAGCTTTCAGTAAACAACATTGAATGTAGCTGCTAGTAGAAGCTAACTGTTAGCATTAGCAACTCAACCAAACGGCAGAAGCTTCTCCATGCCCAATGTTGCAGAGCAAACTGAGTCAGTGGTAGAGTCCTATTGCTGTTATCCAATCCAAGGCAAGATGTCCAAGTATCAGGAAACAAGACTCCAAATCCTGCCGTCTGCTGCCACTCTCTGCTGCAGCAAACTTGCCCATGCTGATCCGTTCTTCTGGGCTTTTTTTTGTCGCCCCAGAGTACGACTTGCAAGGGATTCATTCCTACCAGAGATAACTGCAAATGAATTGCTTAAATGAGTGTTAAACATCTTTCATTTTGCATTTGTCATTGATTTTCCTGTCCTAGCCTTAAAGACCTGTCTCCAAACTAACACCCATATGATTTTATTTGCAATAAAGCAGAAGTTCCATCAGTGGGTTATCTTCTCAAAAATCAAGAAAAATAAATTCATTTACAAAAGATTTTTTTGCAATTTTCTGCATCTGATTCCACCTTCAGCCTAAAATCCAGAGTGATGCTTCTCGAGACAGAATGTTTCCTGTCTCTGCCACACAAGCGTCCCCAGCAGCAGCTCCTCCAAGGAGATCATCATTACTTCAGTAGTTTCCTCACCCCAACGGGAGGTTCCCCGACCAACCTCCACCCTCCTCTTCACTTTTACCTTTTGCCTGCATGTGGCCCTGATATGGAAACAAAGACACAATGAACAGTTTGTGTGAAGGCTCAGATTTAATGCTGTGAAGTAAACACTCATAGGGGTGAGGTGGTGGTTGTTGTAAATTGAAATGTGAGCACTTAGAAGGTGTGGTTCAGCTATTAAAATGCAGACACTGACAGTCGCCTTGAACTTGAACCCCCCAAGGTCCCCTTGACCTTCGCTCTTTTCCCGTGCTCCTCTGTGCTCCCAGCAGCGATGCTGGCCTTTGTTTGGCTGTCGGCATTAACTCTTCACGCCTCTCTCTCTCTCTCCCACAGCTTCCTCCAACACTTTCTCCTCCACCCTCCCCTGGGGCCATGCCTCCTCTTCTCCTCCTCCTGCAGCCACTTCGCCTTGTGTGGTTGATTTTCAGGATACACCCATCTGGTCTGTGGCAAACGCCCCATGGGGGAATTTTGTTTTCCCAGGATGCTAATCTGACCCAGGGGGTTTTCATTCCCACATTCTAGGATCTGGGTTTTACTCTTTCTGTTTTGTTTTGGGTTTTTTTTTTTCTTTTTTTCAGAGGAAAAGCTCTGCAGGATTCATCCTTTATGTAAAACAGTTCCAATAACTGGGATTTGTGCCGATCACTCTGATGATTTCATCAGTTACAACAGTCGTAAAGTTAACAACTTAAAAAAATACACCAGTCTTTTATCTTTTGACCCTTCTGGGATGTTTAAACTTTCCTCGTGCATCAATAAATTTGTACAGGAACCTCCTAAAGTCTTTGTGTCACTTGATTTTACAAGACTGTTAAAAAAAACACGTTTAGCTTCAATCTGCCTGGTTGCCCCTGTTTATTGGATCTTGCCTTCCAGCTACTCATGCTCCCAGGAGCGATGCCCTGATTGTGTCTGCCACCATTATCCTTGTTTCTGATATTTTTTGTCATTTTTGAGAGATGCGTCACCAGAATTAGGACCTGTCACTAATCAGCTACTGATGCTGCTTTCAAACGAGAACTATCTTTCTTTTTTTTTCCTCTCGATTTTGACAAAGCACGTCCATAAAACAAACAGTAAGCTTGCGGCGGATGGGAGGAGAAGAGGAGGAGAAGGTGGAGGTGGAGAGGAAGTGAGAGAGAAGAGCTGAGTGATTTAATCTGCTAATTTTTCTCAGGTCTTTTGGCTTTTGACAGGCAAGTGTAATGGTCCTTCACGTAATGGAATCAACCACTCAAGCAACAGATGCACGCGCACACACGCATACACATCAAAACTAAGCTCACAGACACATGCACACCCTCTAAAAGCACGCCTATTTTGCATATGAATGACATCACCATAAAGTTTTTTAGGGGGAGTTTTTTTTTGTAGTGTGTGTGTGTGTGTGTGTGTGTGTGTGTATGGGGAGGGGGCGAGCATGAAGGAGAGCTGCTCTGTGAAAGAGAAAACATTAGTCAAATCACTTCCCGCTAGTCGCCCTCCCCGGCCAAGCTACTTGACATTCCACGACAGAACGCCTTCGTCCTGAAGAAAAGCTTCCTCAGTGTCGAGCTCATCGGGTCTTTTTCATCATGAATCATTAGGAACGCCAAGAAAAAGGATGGATGAAGGTGTTTGATTTTAACTGGGACCTCAAACAGTTCTTGCAAAGACAGCATCTCCGTTTCTGTTGGATGAAAATCACATTTTTGTGTTTTGAGTGTTTTTAAATTATTCTTCAGAGCTTTTTTTAAAGTCCAATAAGCAGAAATTAGAAGAGTGTGAAGAAGGTTAAAAGGTTATTCCCACCCTGACAAGGAACCTGAAAAATATTTAGCATCCTTTCATTCTGTTATGTTGTTAGCGCTAATGCAACTTTACCTGCTTCATTATGAAGCTAACAGTTTCTCATTCAGTGGGCAGCTTTGTCTTTAAAAAACCTGACATCTTTTTCCTCTGAGATGTATAATTTGACTCTCAGTCATAGTTTTAGAAAGTAAAAGAAAAAAGTCAAACTTGCCTTGACCAAACTCAGTTTGAAATACTATTTAAAATCCACAAACACGATGTTGAAAGCTGAAAGATGTAACAGGTGCTATAAACAAGTACATATGTGGGCCAGCGAAATACAGACTATTTTCTTATTTTAGTATTTTATAGAGACTTTAATAATAAGGCAGCATTCGTTTACATTTATTAATTAAAAATAATTTCAAGGGACGATCAAAAACATAACCTGCATATTTATATTTAAAAAACATTTAAATACTTTACACTTTATGTGTATTTCATTCAATGCTGCATCTTTAATTGATACAGCGCGCAAACATTTCTAATTATATTTTATTTTGTGTTATTGAATAAGTTTCATATAACAACATATTTCAAATTGTTAGAATATTTATAATTAAAATAATTTAAAACTTTCTTCTTTAAATCTACACTTTGCTTTATAACAAATATTTTCCTAGGGAGGAACAACGAAGCTGATCCCTTTTCAGGCAAAACCAGGAAGTAGATGCATAAAAGCAGCTTTTCAGAAACTAAACTGTATTTATTTTCCTTGTTTATGTCATAATTTCTGCATCTATATGAATTTTTGTATCAGTCCACATAATAACGATGAAATGTTGGTTAGCCATCTCATGCAGCCTTTGCTTGATCAAAACAATTCAATAATGTCTGGTGTTTGTTACAGATAAATAAATTAATGTCTAAACCTATGTGTTAAAAGCACTCTACAACTAAAGTGGTATGGTAAGCCGTGTTGATGCCCTTCTCTGTCCAAGAATTTGGACATTAGACAGCAAAACAAGCTCATCACCGGCCTATACACGATCTGATTTGTTCATATTTACCATAAATGGAACATTTGGCAGGAAAAAATATTCTCAAAAGCATCTCAAAACATTTAAATGGTTAAAATTACCAGCAGCACTGTAGGCAGCTAACAAACGTAGACGTCTGGAGAGATGCCCGCTTTTGTTTGGCGCTGATCCAGAGACATGCAAACACGTTGCAAATGCATTTCCCTCCAAAATCATGTGGAGCCACCTCCTGGGGCCACATTCCTGCATACCAATGATGATTCTGGGGAACTAATGAAAGGAGCATCACCCTTGTTCTTTGACCTTGGACTTGCACCAATACCAGCCATTTCCCTCTTCAGACGCCCCGCCACCATGAGGCCTCGTGAATTTGTCCATCAAAGTTAAACTTTTCTATTTATCGCTGCAACACGGCACCATCTTGGAATCTAATCCTTCAGTCTCGCGCTCTAACGTTTTATGAGCAGCCATGGTGTGCCTCATCCCAAGGAGAAGCCACACCCTGAGTTTCCCTAAAACAGAGTTTCTGGATCAAATATGTTAGCCACACAAAGCCAAACGAAGGCTGGAGGCTTCCCCTCTTTACCCAGAGATGTGACACAGCGCTGAGGGAGAGCGCCTGTATCCCAGACTGTGATATAACATGGCTGCTAGTGACAGGACAGTTGTACGCCGTCATTCCAACATGTTCTAGAGTGCTTAACAGTGGCACTCACTTCATTAAGGCCTATAGAGCTTGGCTAGGGCAACTTGCCTCTTGGCACCCTTACAAAAGCTGTGAAACAGATTATGAGGGCCAGAATGCAGCCAAGAAACACAGAGGGCGAGCCGAGCTGTCACCGAGAACCGCCGATGTTAACGCCTGGGACATAATGTAATTGCAGCCTACCCTGGTTAATAAGGGCGCTGTAATATTTGCACGGAGCTGCTGTTAACATGTCGTTTGTACGTGCAGCGTCGCTGTAAACAAGAGGAGAGGTGCCCGCCATTAAAAACTGAGGCGCAAATACCCAAGTGGGTGTGTTTGGGTAAAAACGCCTTGCATTAAATTACCAAAGGCTTCTTAAAAGGGAATGAAGAGAGCAGCAACACCTGCCATACCGTAAAAGGCCACATTTCATGTGTTTTATGGTGAGAAGGCCCTTTTTTACATGACAATGTTAATGAATTGTGAGGCAGGCATATGTTGATGTTGGCACATTGGCCATATGTGGCGTCAGACATCAGATCACACAGGGGAGGTGAGTTGAAACGGTAGACTGAGGCCCGCATGTTAGCCGGCGTGCACTCATATCTAACGATGTGGAGGTGGAGTAGCTGATCATTCAGTTTCCTCTCAATCATTTCTGCATGTGTGCATGCACGTTAGCTCGTGATTCATTTACATTACAACAAAATGGTCGATAACCGCTTCAGGAAGCTAATTAAATGGAGAACAGATCTGTAAATCCTTGATATTTGAACATCTGTGTGATCTGAGGAGACTTTCTGATCTTTTGTTTTGTTTGTAACAGCGCTGGCACAAAATGGTGACAGAAAATGTCAAATAATTTCTATTTCTTTTTTGTTATTTTCTGAAATTTAAAATGCAGCCTTACTATTCATGTGACTAACTGAAGCAGACTGACCTAATTTAACTTCTTCGTGTCATGTTTTGTTCCTTTGTAAAAAGGCTGCCACCTATAGGCACACAATGAATTATAAGAAAGACACAAGGAAGTCAAGAATGCAGTTTTTGCTTTGTTTTGAATGTAAACCTTTATTGTTATAATTAATAATAATATTCCAGCAAGTCTGATAAACAAAGGCACCTGTGGTGAGCGCTCATTCATAAAGAGATTGTTTAAAACAAGTTAATGAGCAGACACAGCTAAATATAATCTATTTGATCTGCATTTAAATAAAAAGAGTTATTTGCGACAGTGATTTTATTATTGTTATTATTATTATTACTATCATCATTATTATAGTTTCCATGCCTCTGGACTCACATCATAAGAGGGAATTTCTTCTTTTTTTTTTGCAAAAGATTAAAAAGATCATTTCAAGCGTATCCAGGCAGATAAGTAATTGTCTTGAGCACTGGGATGAGAATGATTATCAAAAGAATACATTTTCTAAATTAGGTCAAGATAATCTCCCTTGAATCAACTGCAAAAGCACTGCATTGTCTGTTTAAAGGAAATGATTTGCATAGATTATCAATCACAATAATAAAAAAGAAAAAATTCCACTTTCTGAAAATTAATAAAGACTGAATTAGGCTGTGAAAGTACAGTACTAATTGCATGTGTGTGTGTGTGTGTGTGTGTGTGTGTGTGTGTGTGTGCGTGCGTGCGTGTGTGTGTGTGTGTGTGTAATGTCAAGAACAGGAAATGCTTGAGTTTAGGGCATTTGCTACGTCTTACACAAAGACATATTATTACGACTACGATGGTAACTGTTATGAAGCAAACTGGTGTGTCCTAAAGCATGCTGGGAAAAGTAGTTTAATCGTATTCTGAAAACAGGCAGCAGCCTGCTGATCAAACACCCCATTTAATGTCCGAGTCCACGTTTGTTCACATTCTGGCTCACAGCTGCACAATCCAAGAGACTGAGCTTATTCACTCACATGCACGCACACACTAATAATGTTTTCTCACTGTAACCACGGGAACGTTAGGCTCCTAAAACCGACAAAAACCTTTTTTTTTCACGTCTGCAAGAACGCAATGAAAGGTTAGCCCAAAACAAAAACTAAAACAGATTAAAGAGCTTCTGCTCAAGACAAAAACGAGACAGAAGAGTTGCATAGAGTATAAAGACGGCAGCTCACTCCTTCGCCATTGTGTCAGCCGACACACGGAGCTGCCCAATCGCAGTGCAGTAATATTCACTGCTGTCGTGGGTCTCACATTCATGTGTCTTTTGAGTCCTAGCAACTATAACAAAACGGAAATGGAACTAAATCTGGGCTTCAACTCAAATCACAAACATCAAGTGGAGCCTACATGGTTAAATACACACACATTCTTACGTTAATAACAGCTAGCGTACAAGATAATACAAGAGTCTCAATGTGAGACCAATGCACTCATAACAAGCTGCTAATTATCTGACTGCTAGAATCACAGTCCGCCATGATGTTTACGCAGCTAGAAACATCGAGACGTGGTGGCAAGCACTCCAAGTGGATTCCTGGGTCTTCTGATGTAGCATCCTGGTCACGTTGTGCGCAGACATCAGCTCCATCCATGTTTACTTTGACTGAATGGCAGCAAACAATCACCAAAGCAGGAGACCTGCTGTGTGCTCTGTCCTTTTCTCTGGAGTCACCTCAATCACCGGTGTTTATCTGCAACAGAAAAAAAAATTTAAATTAGGATACAGATTTTAATCGTCCGAGTGTCAAAGCGAAGCGAGGGGGGTCATCGGAAGGTCAAAATAATTATTTAAGACAAGTTCCAACTAGAAAAACTGGCTCGTGGCTCTTTAACAATGAAAAATATAATAATTATTGGGACATTAATGGTGTGACCTAAATCTGGCTGAGGCCAGCACAGCTCTGGGTGCTAGAAGAGGATTGAGGCTGGAGTTGAAAGGCCTTAACAGGAGCCTGGTACGCTACAAGCTGCTAATACAAAGAGGAAGCATGTGACACACCCTAAGCTAGGCTGACTCGGACTTCAGAAGACAATCAGACTCAGTTGCAATATTTGGTGCATTTAAAGCAGCCCTGACTAGCAACTTAACACAGTACAGTGGGTCGCCAAGTTCAGAACATTGCTGCAGAAATCACCTATCACCATTCTGATTAAGATCACCTGAGCTGCTAGCGAGCATCGCGTTAGCGTTGGCTTCAGCGTTGTGAGGCTGGAGGGATGGAGGGTGGGGGCTGACAGTGGAGGTTGGCAGCATAAAAGGCTGTTTTGGGTATTGGTGTCGCTTTGAGTTATTGGCATCATGGTCTTGTTTTGTTGAAGGGGCTACAGTGAATTGGCTTGTTAATGGTAAATTTACAGCCCCAGCATGTGGGCTAATAAAACCAGGGGATAGAGAGGATGACGAGAATGATTGCCATCACGATTGTGTGTGTGTGTGTTCAGGGGGTGTTTGTGGGATAGGAAGGGAATGGTGGTGTGGGGGGGGGGGGGGGGGGGGAGAGATGTGAAAAAAAAGAAGAGAGAAAAGTGGAAGGCGCCAGTAATTAAGAGTCTAAAAGAGTGTGAGAGAGGCGCGCACCCCTCAAAGAAAACTGTGTGCCTAGATTTCCCACTTCTTCCCCACGCACCCTGACTCAAACCCCCATCCCTCTTCACCCTCCCCGAATCTTTACTTGTCTCTCTTTGCTGAATGAATAGCTATCACAGAGCCATGGTGTCCCATCTAGCAACCCCCCCCCCCAGCATCCTCCTACCTTTTCTCTACACCCCCCCCCACACACCGCCCAGAATGACTCTGAATAGGGAGCCGAATTGAGCAAACAGTCGGGCTGTCAGCTCAATAGGAGGTCTGGCCGTGAACTTGAAGTCCTTCCCAGGCCCTGAGCCTCACATTAGTGTGGGAGGGATGGTGATGTTTGGAGAGACAAGAGGAAGGAGAGGATGGTGGTCATGGGGGGTTGCAGCCAGACTTTTGGGGGGCCCCCTCTGTGCCAGCATTGAGAGGACCCCTGACACAGAGTTTCTCAGTGCTGGTGCTCTCGCTGGAGTAATGGGGGCAGGGTGCCCCAGCTGCCTGCGGACCCTCCCCTCTTTTTTGCAGCCCTCAGTCTGGGCAGGAGGGGTGCTGACGGTGGGGTCTGAGCAGACAGAACAGTGTCTGCACCCCTTCCAAAGCTCTCTGAGATCCTCACACACACACACACACACACACACACACACACACACACACACACACACACACACACACACACACACACACGGATCTCCAGACACAAGCTGCTGGCTGTGCCCACCCCCTCTTCCCAATCAGCTCGCAGCCCTCCCAGGCTTCTCATCATCTCATTAGCCAACGCCAGCCACTCCACTGTCTACTGTTTGCATTGTTTTGGACTCTGCATAATTTACACAGTAAATTGAGAACTGCCCCTGCCCCTTTGGCTCAATCTACCACCTGTTTCTGGAGGCCCGGCAGTGATTAGTGCACACCCAGTTTAATACAGTCATCACAAAACTTAGCAGCAAAGCCAAGCGACGCCTTCAAGTTGTTTGAAAGCTTTAGAACGTCAGCTGCCTCTAATTGGAGAAACGTTATCACTTTAAAAGTTTAAATGCAGGAAATTTGTGGAGCTGAGAAAAAGATGGGACCTTGGAAGAGGAAGTTTCATGTTTTCATCGAGATCCAGCTTTAATTTAGCCCTTACACACCTACTGTAAGCATTACCACTTCCCCCTCTGACCTCTACACCGCAGACACAAACAAAGAGAGGTCCCTCTGTAACAAGAACAATAGCAGACATTGTTTAATAGCTCTTTTACTTAATCGAGCCCAGCTGACATTAATTGGTGTTTTGGTTTAAGCGGTTTTCAAAGTTGGGAGCTGCTTTGTTGAAACAAGGTTGCTCAGAGAGAACAATACCCAACTTGTCTGGGTATCAGCGAGTACTGGTGAGTTACTTCTGGTAATTTACCCATCAGCTCTTTGTTTGTTGTCAGTCCTTTTCCCGTTTTGCTTTGGTTTTGTTCCATTCTTCGGTCTCTATGTGATTTGAGGTTATCTTCACTTTTTGACCATTAAACCCATTTTGATCAATATAAAAATGTTCAGAGCAAACCTAAAGGTTGAACCAATATTGCTCAAAGGTAATCCTGCTCTACAGCTAGATGTAATCACTGTCACCAAAAACATATTTGACATTTTGTTCAACTAGAGTTGTGCAACGGGCCTTTTTAATGTCATTGTCCCTTCAAAATGGCAGCTGCCACCGCCATGTCAGTGCGTGCATGTGACGATGGCATGGCAATTCCCAAATGGGAGCGAAATCCCGTTTCTTCAAGGACAGATGCCCACTGCAAGCCTCCTGAGAGAGGCATTGAGAGCAGCGTGATTTACCATACACACAAAACACACTCCACCCACATCAACTCACCCTCCCTGCCCGCAAATCAGCGCATCTCGAGAATCGTTAACGAAGATATCTGATAGAATTAAAATGGAGACTGTAGCCTGGTGGGGAGGAGGAACAAGGGCACAACAGGGAGATGGAGGAGAGGGAAAGGAAGAGTGGTGGTGACGGCGATGGGCACTTGGTGTGTTACCTGTACTGACTGGTCTTCATGCTTCCATTTTATGCCAGCGTTGCTCTAAGATGGTGGCGCGGGGCTGCATTTCGCTGTACAGGGGAAAAAAAGGGGCAGTATGCTGAAGATGGAGTGGAGGAGAAAGGGACGAGGAGGAGGAGGAAAGAGGCGATGCAGAAAAGGGCGATGAGAGAGGGAGGGCAGAATCAACAGCAACCCCTCCTCCTCCTTTTTCTGTTTCCAGTCGTCTTTTGCCAGTTTCTCCTCACTAGTACGGCATCCTGCACAGAAAAAGGCACACAGGAAGCAGGGGGTTATGAACGAAGTTTAATCGTCAAAATAAAACTGTGTAGTCCACAGAAGCAAACAAACCATGCCATGCATGCACACACACACACACACATGTGCACACACACCTTTTCATGTCTGTTCTCATGGTACAGTCTGCCCCTGAGCATGCAAATGACTTTCATTATGCAAATGCATGCAAATCAGATCCAACCATCTGAGAATCAAGGGTGGGAAAGGGAAAAAAACTCGTCACAGAGATTGAATGAAAGAATAAAAGAGAAAAGAGGACAAGAGAAAAATCCTTTCGAGTGACAGGAGGCTGTACGTTAGGTAAACGCTCCGTGGAAAACAACAGTCACCGCTCGCAGCAGCCCTCCTGTTTTGTTACGACATCATTTTTTAATGTAATTTCTACTTCATGGTTTTAACAGAAGTGAGTTTATTTGATGCCGAGGACTCTCCCAGCAGAAACACAACAACATCTGGTTTTAAGAACACAGCTGATGATCTGAATTCCTGTCAGCACGCTCTTTGAATCTGACTGCTGCAGTTAGACATGCGTAGGAATAATAAAGCAGATTAAATTAGTGTTGGAATTGTAAACAGCTCTTTTGTACCGCTGGCTCTCACCAGCTAAGCTAACTGTGATTTGGGGTCGTTTTCGTGAGTAATAACGTGGGAATCTTAACCTCAAAAGCCGACTCAAAGACAGCACTCTTGTTTTAGGGCTGCAGCCTTACTGATATTAGGACACCCTGTATGCATGTGTGATTAGTGCAAGCTAATAGGCATGGTGAGGTGAAACGTATACCAGATGAAGGGCTGTTTGGATTCAGCATCTGCTTTTACCACAGTCCTAAATCACCCACGGACGATCTTAGCGAGCAAAATTCAGACAACTGTCTAAGTTTAAGACTCACAAGCAGGTGGAGTTTATACATCGCAGGTTTAGCTGCATGGCTCTTTTCTATAATCGACAAAGAAAGCTGACTAATCAGCGAAGGGAGCAAATTCTCAGATTTTGCAGAGACTCTAAGCCCAGCAGAAAGGATCCTCCGTTAGAGGCAGCTTTTGTCTCAGGGTGTCAGTAGGGAAAGGCTGTGGTAACACCAGGGGTGACTTGGAGTGTGAGAGAGTTGAGGTGGGTATGCTGGGAGGAGAAGGACCACAGAGGTGGGGTACAGCTGAATGGTGACAAACCTCTCCTAATTGGCACTTGACATTTTTTTGCCACTGGCACTAGAGTGGGCCAGCTTTCAAGCCCTCTCTGGGTCCTTGTTGGAAAAGTGCCTTATGCAAATCCAGCGAAAGGCCTCTATTGTGAAGCCGCTGATATTAACAGCTCACGCAACAATGAAATTGTGTGCTTACTCTGGACACGTAGGTGTGTGAGAGAGAGAGGGCGAGACAATGGCAGCCAGTGCAGCTTCAGTCTGAACAGACCCTCCATCGGATGCTTTGCCAAGTCATTTCAGCCGAATGGGCTTTCCTGAGGGCCGAGGCTTTCAGCAGAAGCTTCATTAATGACCGAAACAAACAAATGCGTGCACTGTTTTGCTCTGGCTCCCAGTTTGTAGTGTTGGTGAATGGCTTGATTCATTGTGGTTGGATACACTGAAGTTATGGACAGAAAAAGGCAGCTCTTGCCCTGAAACATCGATGTTTTAGTCCTACGTGTGAAAATGAGTTCATGCTGCGCCCCTTCTTACATGTCTTTCTTCTATGTGCCCATATCGTCTACCATTATCTTGCTCCCTTTGATTGGGATTTGTAATAAATAGGAAAAACCCAAACTCTCCGTGTGGTCCCAGTGCAGTCAAAGCACACCTGTTAGTGTTAAGTTGCCAAACTTAATCTCCTTTGTCTGATGAGGCCCATTGACTTTGCAACTGTCTAAGATACATTCATTTCTCTGTGTGCATGAAGGGGCGGGGGGACTGCCGGAGTTGTAGAAAATAACAAGGTCTGGTGTTACCCTCTGGCCCAACAGTGAAGCCATTTTGCGAGCCCTGTTGGTGTGTTCCGTCGAGAGAAAGAGAGGCGGAAAAAAAGGGGGCAAGAATCACTGGGTTGCATTCAGAGGACTGTCTGGCTGCTCAGACCCGGCGGGGCTGAAAGGGAGGAAAAGGGGCGCATTGTCTCTCGGTGACAAGTGGACTAGCTCTATTGACTGTAAAGTCTAGTGGTGTGGGGGTGAGCGGGACCCGACCACAATGGCTGTTTTTCTATTTGACACTTGGAGTCTAAATCTGCTTGCCTAGCGCATGAAAGCAAAGACAAACCTACCACCCTCCTTCTCCTTTCTCTCCCTCCCTTCACTCCTTCTCCACCATTTCTCCTTCTTTCTATTTCAGACAATGCCGAAGGACACAAAAAAAAAGCGAGAGTGACCAAAGTCCCTAAGGTGGTTTTTAGGAACTTTCCCATCCCCATGCCATTTTCAGAGGGGAAGAGGATAAGACGGTCTCCGCTCTGGGGTCCCCAGTGAGAAGTGTTAGTGATATAACTGTGACACACACACACACACAGCCAGAACAAAGCTTGTGCACCATGACATGCATCTCCCAGGGCACCGCTTGGGGTATAAACACAATCTGTCCTAGAATTCAGCTCCTATTTAACCCTTAACACTGCATCTGACACAAAGAACAAGCAAAAGAAACAACACCACAGTGCTTAAGAATATATCAGTCTTGTACCTTTTATGTTCCGAATGCATCATGCAAAATGGATCTTTTCAGATAAAGAAATGTTTGTCTTTGTTCAGATGTTCCCAAAGAGCCCACAATGTATTGAAACAAAATTTCAATCGCAGCTGAGGCACATCGGAGAGGAAACAAATCAAGAAAGGCGACATGACTGGCTGTCACTTCCTGTCAAGGCCCTCGTTTCTTTTTTCAAATGTCAATATCCTGTAATGCAGCAGCAAAGCTGACAGAACCATGGGCCTTGAAGGGTTTGGTTTTAGGTGTTTTGTCTCCACCCTGCAGACCTGTTTGGATGTATTACCATGTCAAGCTGACTTTCTCCAAACCCAATGAGATCTTTTGACCCGAACAGTGTTGCAACAGCAAACCACAATGTGGACGTTTTAAAATCTGGACTCACTGCTAGTCTTGAGACCTAGGAAAACAATCCTTGGCAGCTTCTCTCAGCGGGAGTAACCTTTCAGCGTGGATGGACAGAACAGAAATCACACCTCCAATCAGCCATCAGAGGCCTTGAGGTTAAAGATCTGATTGACCAATTACTCCTCACCGTGAGCCCCAGCGATCAACCTAAAGGCTGAGATTGTTCTCCTTCTCCTGCTCGTGGACTTCTACACCATGGGGAAGTTTCTGCTTGATTGCCCCTGGACCACTCCCCTTCTTATCCTTACATCCACACACATCAGCATTCAGCGAAATCCCATCAAGTCTTTCCACATGGTAGCACCTTGCGGAACGGAGGCTTTGGCGCGGCCCATTCAAAATTGTCACGTCAAACCAAACAACCGCCAGAACTCCCGAATCAAACATCTTTTCAGAGAACAGGGTGAAAAAGCAGGTAGAAAGGAGGGGAAAAAATCAACAACGGATAACTTAACAAAACTGGCATCAAACAAATTCTTGTCCTTTACTTGTGGACACCAGCAGGACCCCCAGACTAACTCTAAAGGAGCATTCAATGGAACCGCGTGTAGAATTCATGAATCCTCGTGCGGCTCTTACATCACTGAAGGTCCGCATTCATTTCACGCGTTTTGTTCTCCTGATGTTAAAGATGCAAAAGAGTGAAGCTCAACTTTCTGCTGACCCCCTAAATATTGATTTATATAGACCAAAGCAAACAGACGAGCCAGTGCAGAGTCGTTAAATAACTTGTGTGTTGTAAATCAGGTTGGGTCTCTTTCTCCAAGACATGTGACATTAAGTCTAAGCCCCTGCATGCAGCTCCACATACAGGGATCATGGGCTTATTAGATTAAAAGTGATCCTGTTGCACCAACTTTACTATTGTGATTCTCTGCACTGGCTGGAATATATGTGGCAAAATGAAACTATGACACATTTAAAGTGCAAAAAAGCACATTTGTAAATGTTCTACATCTAAAGCAAGTTGTACTCAACACAAAACTAATCTTACCTTTTTCTGCCTTCAGCTCCCATCTCCTCGGAAATGCCGTCCACCTTCTTCTCTTGAATCTTCTACATTTTGCATTTACATTTCGAAGACAGGGGAGTTTTTGGGGTCTTGATGCCTTTCCAGGAGTGTAATGGGATTCTTGTTACTTTCGGTTATCTAGCTTTATGAAGAATGTACATCACTCATACAGCTAGATAACCAAAGATAACAATCAACCCCTAAGGCTACCCATCCTTTCAAACCCAAAGCAAAGGCACATGGGCCAAGCTCTGACCTAAAGGCAAATGAAAAGATTATTAATAAAAATGGAAACAGCTCATTAAAAAAAATTATGATTTACAATGTGACCTGAAAGTGAGCTAAAATGTATGTCAAAAATGGAAACGATGTAAAAAACGAAACTCTACGGAACAGAGGTGCCACTGCTATGGCTTGGAACTTTATTTCCTTCTTCAGCTAACAGCAGCTCTTAAATATCCTGACCTCTCATTTTATGATGTCACCAAGTTCCCTCTCACCCCGCCTCCTCAACCAATAGACAACTTCCCTTTTGTCTAACAAGGGCTTTGATTGGCTGGTGAGTTGTGTCTGTATAGACTAAACTCCACATGTCAAACAATCAGCAAGATCCACCAATTAAAAACCTCGTTATCTAACCAGTCTGAATGACATCCATCTTCCTTTCTTGGGAGTGGTGACCATCCCAGTAAATCCACAGTCCCTGCTGACTGGTTTCATTGGAGGAGGATGGCTTCAAACGCAGCTCCCCCCCATGAAGACCCAAATACATTTTGAAATTGAAAGAAGATCTGCATCCATAACATAGATGTTTAGGATGCATCTGAGGATTTTTCTCTTTTAGCTGCTAACAATCATGTAAAAAAGAAAAGTGAACAAACATAAAAGGAAAATAAATCCCCCTCACAGGTTTAGGTTGAGACAAAAGCTGCAACACGTGCAGGCACACATTCACTTTCACACATGCCGCGATGGCTCATGGCATGAGGCCCCCGTCTAATTAAAGCTGTTCTGTGTGCCCAGATCCCTGTAGAGGCAGGCTCCTCCCCAGCAAAACCACCATCAGCTAGAGCACCACGACCGAGACGAGCTCAGTCACAGATAATCACACACAACTGAACAATTACAACTAGTTTAACCGGATACACACATAGCCATCAGTAACTAACCCATCTGAGGCAAACATCACCCTCGCCTGGCGTTGCTCTTCATCTGACTATCAGTATGTAGCCTAGTCTACGGGGTTGATGCTGGTTAGGAGGATTTGATTCACACACACACACACACACACACACACACACACACACACACACACACACACACACACACACACACACACACACACACATCCCTTATCTTATTTGGAGGTTTATTATAAAAATTACCAAACAACATTATTTAATTCTAAAAATGTAAAATATCATATCAGTCTTTAATGCATTTATTTTCTTTTTGTTTTCTGAAAATGCAAAATAATCAAGAAATGTTTAATTCCATGTTCTCCAGCAGAGCTCTTAAAACGCTATTTTAGAAGGGGACACATTTGTATTTTGAACTAATATTAAAAAACAGTTAGTTTATATATTAATGCTGACTGACTCAGCTGGATAATATAAAAACTGTTCAGTTAAAATTTAGTAGAATTATTCCTCATTTTTTTATTGTCTTGCTGATTTTATTTCTCCTCTACAATTTTTATTTGTTGTTTTTATAGAATCATTTCTCATCTGATGAAGTTCAGCCTGCAAATTATTAATAACTTTAGGCCAACAAATGAAGCTAACATCTGACTGAGTGTCACGGTATGACATTCTGTTTTCCACCAATTAGACAAACCTAATCTTGCTCCCTATTGGCCTAGGCGTGGATGACGTCAGTAAAATCGGCAGCTTTAATTGGGGAGGAAAATATTCAAAGATGGGGTGCTTATTGGAAAATTATTTCATAATTCGAAGTCCCGCGGGTTTAAGTCTGCTTTAAATTTGATTATTTCTTTATTCTAAACAAATTGTATGTCTCAAGTTTAATTTTCAGTTTGAAACATTTAACGTGGAGCTACAAAAGCAATTACGCAAATGTTTTACGCACAAAATAAATTATTTTGAAGCCAAATGGAAATGCAAAAATCTTTTTGTGTTTGAGGAGCAATGTTGTGTGATAGATGAATGTTTGAAAAAGACGGTGCATGAATCATAATGTTTTTAATGCAAAAAAGTGTTGTTTGGATTTAATATTAAATAGAATATTGAAATCTGTATTCAGAAAACGTTTTTATGCTGTTTAAGGAAATAAAATATATTTAATACATGAGTTATTATGTATCTAATAAAATTAAAGTTGATTCAGCCTGCTAACTGAAGCCACCTGATAAAAGTAGGATAGTTGCACGGATTATCTTTATGTTGTCTCTTCACAGACTCCAATTAGAAACATTTATTTCTGTGTTTTTATTGAGAAAAAATAACCAAATTGCTTCCCTCAGCATGTTATTGACGTGCTCAAGTCAGTGGGAAATTACATTTCCTGCATTAATGAAAAAATGGCTTTCAGGCACATGATGATAATGGACTGAAAAGGTGTCGAGATGCTGCTGCAGCCCGTTGATGAGCTCTGATTACTGCTGTTGTCGAGGATTATCACCGCAAACAACATAAAAGTGTCGCAAAATATGTGTTAAACACACACATCTCTCTCTCTCTCTCTCTCCCTCTCTCTCTCTCTCTCTCTCTCTCTCTCGCGCTCTCTCTCTCTCTCTCTCTCTCTCTCTCTCTCTCTCTCTCTCTAACTCTCTCTCTCTCTCTCTCTCTCTCTCTCTCTCTCTCTCTCTCTCTCTTTCTTTCTCTCTCTCTCGTCCATAATTGCAGGAATTTTTAATATTAACAAAGCTAACTGTGCAAATGAAACCCTGATTTTGTTTGCAAAAATGATCTTTATGAAACATTATTTTCATTCTATCTCTATTCCACTCACCTGGCTGCCATTCAATCCTCCAAAATTCCTCTATTTTGTTTTTATAACTAGTTTGCATTAGCCAAACGCTCCCGAGCTTGGGCTTTCCGTCCCTGTGAGTCCCCAGGTGCACACGTGTTTTCGACAGAGGCCCGTGGCTTCTTGGCGCACGTGTCCACTATATACTCGGCCTTGTGATCCTTTCATCCCCGAATATGCACGTGAGTGCCACTAATTTGTGGTTTTTTACGCAGTTTTGCGTATATCCAAGCTACAGACGCACGGTGCACGCACAGGGCTTATGTGGAAAGAAAGACTAACTGTTTAAATTGTTCCCTCCAAATTGGAGAGGATTGCTCGGATTTTGAACAAAATGCAGCTTCTGGTGTGCATATGCAGCGCTGAAGAACCCTGTTTTAATTAGAAATGCATTTTTGGCCTTTGTGGCAAATTTAAATGGGGCACACTAAGCCAGTGAGCACAATGCGTCACTGAATCTGCCTGGAAATGGATTGAACTTCAACAAATATCTATTCAGAAGTTGTCCTGTCGCTCAAGTGTTCCAATTATCCCCTGATGGGGAACTTAGTTCCTATTTGTTAACCTATGACCTTTCGTGACATCTGTGCGCAATGTCATCCATCATTTAACTTCACTAAGGAATCCATCTAAGCTGTGAAATCCTACATATTTAGAGAAATATCGAAATTTGGACAAAATGCGCAAATCGATTAATTGTGAGCTCCAAACGCAGCCGTCTTCCATCACCCCCTACGCTCCGCTCCTTGGATGATCCAAAAAAGAAAGAAGTGAGACAAAAATAATCTAAATCTGCTGACCTGGAGCGCAAACAGCGCCCAGTTTCACTCCGACTGGAGCTGCATCCCGCTCCGAGATGTGTGCAGACTGAGAATGCGAGGTGCGCGGATGCAGACGCGCTACTCCTTCATCATTCGAACCGAAATCGCTCAAATGCCCCTCGCCTTTCTCTCCTCCTAGAAGCAAACAAAGGTTGTGTTCCATACTCACATCGTCGGTTGCGAGCCGCTGCGGGATCCGCGCTCTGAAAGGGAGCAGCGAGCCTCTCTGGAGGCTGGCAGCAAGTGAATAGAGGGAAGCTGGAACGCACGGTCTTCATGGCTGCGGCTGGCTGTGACGTCTCTCAGGCTCCAACCATTCAGCGTCTCTAGGACGGATTTTCCCCCAGTTTTATTATCACCTCCCCCATTATTTCAGCCGGATCTCACCTCCCCCGCTGCCGCGCGCGTCGGTCCCTGCACTCGCCATTCCTCGCGTTTGATGCGTTATGAAGTTAAAACATCACTGCTCTAAAGACATATAGCACCACTAAGGCCCTCCCCCTTAATGACACGATGCAGTGCCGCGTTTTGTCTCCACCCTCTGAAATATGAAAGGAAACGTGGATTAACGCAGGTCATGTGCCGCTGAGGAACCCGGATCCTGCACGAATCATCTCAAAAATGTTCATTCATTCTAGTTTTAGGACTAAATTTTAAATATCACACACATTTTTAGATATACAGTTTGAAATGATGTCTAGAATCTTTTTTTTACCAGTAATTACGCACGCGTGGCTGCAGATGCACCTCCATAGCGCAGCTGCATCTACGCAGCCTTGAGCCTATTTAGTTGCACACAGATTTCTCAAGTGTGTCGTTTAGAGCCCCGTTTGGGCCCATGTGGGATTATAAAAAGAATAAAAAAAGTTTCATGTAATCTTGTATGGATACTAGTATTCGTTTGACACAAGCCCCCGGCGCGGGCTGCGGCCTCCGCTCATGCGCTTGGATCAAGTGCGCACATCCACTGTTCTCATTGTCTGCATCTTTGACACACTGGAGTCCAGGAATGTGACCGGGGAGTGAAGACCGTGCAAATCAGCTTCTGTCACCGCCGAGCCCAGAGTCCGCAGACAAGAGCCAAGAAAGGAGGTCTGGGTCACTGATTATCATAATAATCAAATCGCGAGGATAAAAATCTCCTTTGAATAAATTACTTGTTCAATAGGAGGCGCGACTGCCAAAGAGACAACTTTGTCAGCTCTCTCTCTCTCTCTCTCTCTCTCTCTCTCTCTCTCTCTCTTTCTCTCTCTCTTTCTCTCTCTCTTTCTCTCTCTCTCTTTCTCTCCATTCAAACCAAATTTTGGACGCTCTCCTGCAGATCAGACTCTAAATGCAGCTACTGTTTCTCTCCTCCCCTCCTCTCGCCCTCACCGATGCCTGGTTACCAAGTCCGGGCTGGCAGGCAGGCCTTGAGCTCCTCTTGGGAAAGCGGAGTGGTTAGTGG